TATATATGAAAGACAAATCTTAAGACAAAAAGGAAATTTGCTTTCTTAATTCCTTCATGTTAATCTCATTATAACCCCTATTATAATGCTTTTATTATAATGAAACCCTAAGAATCTTTACTACTTCCTCATGGGGCCATTACATAACCATGTTCCTTATATCATGAGTCTAGAGTCTACTGGAGGAGAAAAATGTTCAATTATAATAAAATGTAAAAAATAAGTTACAATAGTAATAAATAAACAGTTTTTTGTTGTTGTTGTTTTTTTGTGAGAGAACAAAGGATTCTTGGAACCAGTAAAAATCCTTATATGGTAATTGCTGTACTTTGATGCCACTATGTGCTGTTCCAAGAGACTTTTCTGATACATGTAAACACTGTTGGCTCTTGAAGCACAGGGAAATATTACTAGCACAAATAAGATCTGAACATGTAAATCACTCTATCATCAGAAAACATTTGAAAAATGACCTTTTTCTTATAAGTGAAAGCCTAACTCTGATTCCACTTAAGCTGGTAATATGTTTCCGTCATTCCGTTGGACCAGCCCACACATACTGGGCTCTTGATAGGTCCTGGGCTCGACCATCTGGCCTTTTATTTACTTAATTCTTTTTTAATACTGACAAGTGTATTAGTAACACTTCCATGATCACTGGTAAATATAGAGCCGGAGCACAACCAACATTTTCCTTAATTCTGGAAGTCACTAATTAGTTGTGGGTAGGGGTTGGGGAGTATTACAAAGATATGTTAAGCAATACTACAATAAATAATCTAATTCCCAAGAAGAAAGCGTGTTAATCTGCTTCCCACTTCATCAGAGGAATAAAAAACATCCTGTGATGACTAAAGGATATAAAGAGAAACCTGAGTATTTGAGGAAATGGTAGATACGGTGGAAGAATAAATGCAGCATTTAGGCAAGAAACACAAATCCCCTACATATCATGGACAATGTCCATGGTTTCTCTTGATATCTTTTGATTACTCTATTTATCAGTGTGTTTCATGAGCATAGTTTATTCAATTAATAAACACAAGCTTCCAAAGAAAACAAATAAGGTAAATGAATCCTACTTAAATAAACTGATTGTTCTTCTGGTACTTAAGGTATACATTAGGCAACTTTAGAAGCTACATTAATCTTTTCAAACTAGTCAGGTCTCATTTACTTGAGCTTCACAATGACATACAGCAGGCTTAAAGGAGAGAACAGTTTCCAACAGGCTAAAAAGTCATTTGAGAGAAGAAAGGGTCTAGTTTAAATACTGAACCTTGGAATTCAAGTATCTTAAGTCCAATAAAGAACATTTATTTCATTTTTTTAGAGCATTTGTTTTTGTTAAATGAGAGATAGTCAAATACTTTAATTTTTCATGAGATTTAGATTCCTCAAGAACATCAACTGACTGTTATATATGTTGAGTCAAGCATCAAGTTTAAAGTTTTATAACTCAACTCCCTGAAACTAACAATTCTGAGTAAGGTCAAGTCCACAGTCCTCATTTTTAAAATCAAACAATGTAATACCAATCTTTTAGAGATTATTTTTGGTTTCAGTCTACCTCCTTTTTTTCATAGACATTTTTGGAAAAGGATGATATTCAATTATAGTACTTATACCCAAATAACTAGAATCTCAGCTAAAAATTTACAAAGCTGTGAATTGTGAAGTAAATATTAGTATTTCCTTAATTAAATTTTGTAACTAATAAATAAAAGTTAATTGGTTCACACGTGAAAATAAATTGATGAGAGGCCGAAACACAGAATAAACAAGGTGGGGGGAGCACATTGTTTAATATCTAATTTAAGAACTGTCGCCCTGGCCAGTTTGGCTCAGTGGTTAGAGCGTTGGCCTGTGGTCCAGAGAGACCCAGGTTCAGTTCCCGCTAGGGGCACGTATCTTGGTTGCAGTTTGTCCCTGGCCCTGGTTGGTAGTGCGGGTGGCAGCTACTCGATGTGTACCTTTCATGTCGATGTTTCTCTCTCTCTTCCTCTCTCTCCCTCCCACTCTATCTGAACAAAAAAATGAAAAAAAATGTCCTGGGGTGGGGAATAAAAAACAAAAAGAACTGTCTGCCCTGGCTGGTTTTGCTCAGTGGTTAGAGCATTGGCTCACGAACTGGAGGATCCCGGGATTGGTTCTTGCTAGGAGCATGTACCTCCGTTGCAATTTGTCCCCAGCACCAGTTGGGGTTGTGTGGGTGGAAGCCACTCGATGTGTCTCTCTCACATTGATGTCTCTCTCTCTCTATTCCTCCCTCTCTCTCCCTCCAACTCTGTCTGAAGATAAATGCAAAAATATCCTGGGTGAGGATTTAAAAAAAAAGAACTGTCAAAGAAGCAGGGCATGTTTTACTTACCAGTATATGAAAAAAAAAAAAAAAAGAATGGATGCTTTTGCATACAAATAAATGCAGGTATAGAAACAAAACAGAAGCTTTGTATCACAATGGAACTTAGACTCTGGGCAGTGATCAGCTAAGAAGGAACAGAGACAGATACAATGCAATGATTAACTAGCTGACAAATCTATTATTCATGACAGGTATGTAAGCAGTCAGGGCAGCGATGTTGGTGGCCTCTCCTCATCAAGCAGCTTTGCCAGTACAGACTGGATGCCTGCAACTAGGCATGACACAAAAACAATAAAGTCTATAGCCAGCTAAGGGCAGATTCAGCACAATCCAACTCCAGTGCTTAATAGTACTAGAAATCTCTATTGAATAATGTTTCCCGTGATTGGTGTATACTGTATTTACAGAACGTTGCCCAACACTTACCTCTATTTACCTTACTATGCATAGCAAGGTGCCTGAAACAACAGGAAATGTTCAGTATATTACAGAAAAAGGTGACTTTATCATTAATTGGCAAAAATTTCTGTTGATAGGTATGACCATCATGTTGTTACATGAACAGATGGTCAAAGTGAGTCCATTTCACTGACAGTATATTATGTGGGTCTTTTTATCCCCGAACAACCAAACCAAACAAAAGTACAACACAGAAGAGGCCATTATGCCTTCCCTGGTTTAGTTGGCAGCTTTATCTGTGAAATATGAAAATAAAAAACCAAGATGGACTGTAATCCTGCATAGCACCATTTCCACATAACATTCAATTGAATAATATTTAAGTATTCATATTCAAAAACCATCCTGATGTTTGTGAGGATAAAAAAAATACATGTTTTTTTTTTTTTTAATCTTTCAACTCTATGATCTCCAGTTAAAGGGAAAAAATAAAATAGTCATATTTCTTCTTCAGATTTTTTTATTTTTATTTAAGCAACAGTTTATGGGGGGTGAAAAGCAAGTTACAATTCTTTATATTCAGGTATTTTAACAAAATGTTAGAAAAAAAGACATTTTAAAAAAGCAACCCCCTTATAAAAACCTATTTCTCTCTGTATATATATTATTTTTACTGAATAATTTTTAAATATAACATCTGAAATACTCATAAACAAATGAATTCATAGTGTAGCAGGTATCCAACCACCAATTACTATATTTACTCCATGAGATCTCTTGAACTACACACACACACAACACACACACACACACACAAACACACACACATTGCTATATAGACTCAGTATGATAGCTTCATCTCTATAACCAACCCAAAATATAAAATAGTATCTTGATTTTGTGAAATGAAAAATATTATGAGTATAGGAGAGATAAAAATTAAGAATATATTTCTATCTATAACAGCTAATAGTAAAACAACAGCTGAAAATTATATAGCTAAAATGCATCAACATATGTAGTTATGAAAATTTAAGTGCAAGGAGAAATCTACCTACCTTCAAAAAGAGCTAATGAAGTATGAGGTTTAAGATACATCTTTGGTACTTCTGTACCTTAAAATATTGCCGAGTATTAATTTTCCATCAAGTTGTCATTTTCTCTGACATTTGGTTTTATTAATCAAGGCATTTATCATTAATTTGTAGAAAATATCATAATTAAGTCAAATAAAATAAAATCCTTAAAAGGTTAAAATTAGAAAGCAGGTGAATTAGAACTTTGACATTACCCTGTTGACATACAGGAGCTGTTTGAAAGTATGGAAATCAAGTGTTTGCAGTGTGTTTGGTGCCTCAATCTTGGGGCTGGGTAGTTTTTCAATGTTAGAAAGATTTGATTTAAAGCTCTCTGACAGTTTTGACATTCAGGTGAAAGTACCGTTGCTGCCTTTGGAACAATTTGCATATCCCACTGCTAAATAGAATGTTTGAGGTGTGCACTGGTGTAAAGAAATTAAAAACAAGCTATCACACATGCTTAAGTGTATGTATTCACAAAACTGATGGTTGGATCACACCATCCCATCCCCCTCCAATGTAATCTGTGATTTACTCTTCTATAATAAATTACCCTACCATGTTATTCTCACTGGAAGATCTAACCATGCATGTAAGAAGCAAAGTAATTACAGTTTCCTCTTGTCTAAGAAACCTTCTTCAATCCCTATGAGCTCTTTATACACAATAAAGGGACACAAGTCAATTGTAAACTTTTTGCCTTAAATCCTGGACTTTAGTAGTCACAAAATGTCATCTAAATGGCTTTGTTGTTCCCAACAAATACATTTTTATTTCTTGGAATCAGTTATAAAGCTCTTCCTGATGATGAGGAATATGAAGCTTGAGCCAATATGTTTATTTAAGAAGAGGGAAAGGTATAAAATAAGTAAAGTTCCAAAATGATTTTAACAAGGGGAGGGGCCACAGTAGATTCCCATATAGAAGAAAGAACAGGTTCAACAACATCCAATTAGGCTGAGATATTCTCAGATGACACAGCTTTCTTCTTTCTTTACTTATAATTTCAGATTATTTTTTAAGCAGACATAGAAAAGGTTATTTAATGTGTTAAATGGCAATAAAAGAAAGACTTAAGTTAGTAAACTCAAACACTTAAGTATTATAACACTTTTCAAGAAGATAAAACCGTTCAAGAAAATAGCAATGGACATTACCTTCAGCCTTCAGAGTCTCAAAGGGCAAGTCTTAACACCTCAATTGTGTGACTGTAAAAAGAAATACTTAGAATTAGAAGTCTACCAAGGAAACAATTTTGATTTCTATAATATCTTTGATTAGTTATGAGAAGTAGATAGCAGAGTTTGTGTATGTCAACTAAGACCTATAGTTTTTCTTTAAATAAAGGCTAACATGTTCATTTGTGTATGTGCAGAACAAGTACTCAGCAAAATGTGGCACAAGTATATAATGTAAACCACTGTACGTCTAAGGTTTATATGGAGAACAGGTTATTTATAATAATATTATTAAAATATTTCTTAGTTTATACAAAGGTTTTTATATTTATATTTTTATAATTAAAAAATAAAACTAATACCAAATAGTCTTTATCCCATTTATTTGTGTTTTGGGGTTTTTTGTTTGTTTGTTTTTTGAGTATCAGAGATTTTGCAAAGATCTACTATGTACAATATACTGGTAAGCACTGGTCAGTTAGGAAGTATACAAGTTAAGAAAGACACAAACCTATCCTCAAAATAGTGAGTGAGGTTGGAGAGATATACATAAAAAGAAGATATCCAAAAAGAATAAAAAGTAAATGGGCAGGAAGAAATAGGGAGCAGCAAGTAACACGTTCAAAATAGCCTGAACTGGTGTACAGTACCTAATGCATGGACATGAGATTTTGTTTCCTGCCCCAGCAAGCTAGGCTAATAGTAGGGCCCTGCTCAGATTTGAAGGGAGGGATATCAAATAAATGGATCCTATAGAATCAAAGCTGGGACTGGGAGCAGTGAAGCAGGCACGATGTTGAGGAGCCTTTGAAGCCAATTTAGTGAGTTTGAACATGAAAACATTTAACTAGAAACAACTCTCCTATTAAAAATTGAGTTTGATATTGTATGTCCTTGGAACAAGATCCAAATTTGCTATGAAATCTCAATGATGACCTTAAGGTCATATTTACTAATAATCTCCACAGAGATTCAGCCATTTGAAGTCTCAAAGGCAGTTTCACTAATGGAAATGCATATATAAACATAATCCAATCCTGTAAAACAGTACATCTACAGTGACAGACCTGCTAAAATGCAAAAAGTCTAAGGATTTTAATTGATTGGATCTCTAATATGCATAAACAACATTTTACAAAGGGAAAACAAATAATCCAGCAACAAACCACACCAGTCAACCAAAAGAAACCTGAGGTTAGGCTTTACTGATAGATAAATGGGATCCAGAAAAGGAAGGTGACAGTCCTATTATATTCAGGCTACAAGAGTAATATCACACTTATCTTGCAACCCCAAACTTTAGAAGAGGCACTGAAAATTAGCATTTCTTAGGAGAACTGAGAAAAGAACCATTATTCATGGATAAACAGGGGATAAGTAGGAATGGAAAAGAAAAACATGTTCAGATTGTAGGGGTGAGGTAGGGAAGGACACTTGGGAGAAAATTTGGTTATTACATGATATATTATAAAATTAATTTTTATTTATTAATGATCTGCCTCCCCCACTAGAATGAAACTGCCATAGGTCAGCACTGTCTTTTTCACTGTACTACACCATTTTCATGAATGGTATCTGCCATAGAGTAGGAGATCAACAAATATTTATTGAATAAAAGAATGAACAGCCTGATCAACCTATGAAACAGGCACTAGATTTACATCTATTTACAGATAAAGAAAGTTATACTTAAAGAAGTGAAATGTTATGAATTAAATTAAAGTGCGTCCTTTGTTAACTCCAAACTGTTACAACCTATTGTTTATAGTCTTCCACTCAGTATTCATTCTAGCAGGGGAAGCAAACAATAAGCAAATAAAGTGTTAGACTTATGTTATATAATTAGTATTATGAGGGCAAACAAAACAAAGTAGCAGCACTGAGAGTTACATGGACTGATACTTTAGATGAGTCTGAACAGGAAAGCTCAGAGGAGATGACAATAAGAAAAGGCCACAGTGAAGTGAGGAAGATTAAAAAAATATCTGGGAGACTATCTGGGCTCTTATAAGGATTAAACAAAATACACATTACCTTTCTCATACAATGGCTATTACACAGCAAACAGTATTCTCAATGACTATTATTTTATGTTGCTATTATTTTTATAAATGGTAAATTTCCCCACTAGATTAAAAATTTGTCAGACATTCATTTTTATCTCCCTATAGCTCTTTAAATAGTGTCTAGCAAGAATTCAGTAAACATTTATAGAACTGAAAATAGAAATACACATTACCAGTTCATTAATTAGAAAAAGTAAACAGACTATATGAATATGAAAAAGTCACCATATCTAATATGCTTGAGTCAATTTAATTCTGTTAAATCAATGTTGCTTAATAATTAATCATTTATGGATTAAAAAGAAAGAAAAAGGTGAAAATATATGTAAAATGGCTATAGCCAGTAAACCATAGATTAAAGAAAGTAATAAGGAAGAATCAGGGGAATAAAATAAAGTTTTCAATATCAGTCCACTGTCTTTACCATTTATATGCTCTGTCTGCCTCCATCAGAGTAATATATTTTTCTAGTTCAAGGAGTCTACCACACAGGTATCTAATTCACTTACGTGTTCCTATAACATGCATAGGGCCTGATATATATAGCAAACAGTCAATAAATCGTTGTTGAACTGAATTAAACTAAAATGATCTTTAGTAGTTCTGATGCTTTAAAGTTAGTTCAAATTTTTAAAAATGCAACAAAAAAGAAGATGACAACAGAAAAAAATATCAAGTGTTAGGTTTAGCCCTGTAGCAAAGGAGTAGCGAACAAGGTTAGTTTTTAACAAAGATTGAATTATACATGACAGTGTGATATTGGCAATAGAAGAGACAGATGAGTAGAACAGACCATAGGGACTCAGTATGGGGTAAATGTTACAGGTAGCATTTCCACAAAGTTGAGATAATCGACTAATTTATGTGAAAACAAGTAATTTTTGTTCCTTACCTCTTACCCAATACCAAAATATAAATTAGATTACTATATTTGAAAATAATTAGTAAAACAATCAAAGAGCTTTAAGAAAAAAATATATATACATGTGTATACACACACACACACACACACACACACACACATATATATATATAATTTTCTGAATTCTAAGGTGAGAAGTCTTTTGAGGCACATGGCAGCAGTATATGCCTAAGCACAAAGATTTATGAATTTGACTACTTGAAGTAAACATTTTTACAAGTCCAAAATTATCTCCAACAAAATCAAGAAGCCAACAACAAATAACAATAAATATTTTAATGTATATGATATTCATAGGGTTAATAATCTTCACCTATAAATAAATAAAACAAATTTCATTTTTCAAATGAACATATTTATAATAGAAGAAACACAAGCTACGATATATATAAAATAATATTAATTTGTAATAGCAATGAAAAAAATACAAATTAAAATAAACAAAATATTCCATAGTAGTAGTAAACTGATTTAAAAAAATTATATGTGATATAATGATAAAGTTTCACTAAATATGGCAAGTGAAAATTTACAATATACCATTAAGATTAAAAAGCAGGTTATAAAATGATGATAATAATAAGATACCAATTTTAATAATATGTATATTATACAAACATACATATAGACTATATGCAATGTTTGGTTATAGAAATATATAAATATAGATATGTATGTATTTGTGTATGTACATATTAGAAAAACATGTATGTATTAGTAAAGACCTATAGACTAAATTATTCCTGGTATTTATCTCAGGTACTAAGATTATGGCAGATATTTTTCTTCTTACAATTTCTTTTCAAAGTTTATACAATAAACACAAATTACTTTTTTTTTAATCCTCATCTTAGGATACGTTTTTATTGATTTTACAAAGAGAGAGAAATATCGATCAGTTGCCTCCCTTATGTACCCTCACTGGGGATCAAACCTGAAACCTCGGTTTGTGCCCTGACTGGGAACTGAACCTGTAACCTTTTGGTGCACAGGACAACACTCAAGTAACTGAGCCACCCAGCCAGGACACCCCAAAAAAGTTCTAAAACAAGACATTTGCTCTGTTTCTAAATAAATATACAAATAAATAAAAAATATATTATTAGATTTCCTGAATGTTAAGAAAGCCATTTGGAAATGTCTATCTGTCCTTATTTCTGGGAAAGGCCACCTTTGTTAACTGTATAGATTAAATTTTTAAAAAAGAAGAAGGAAGGAAGGAAAGAAGATGGAGTGAGAGAGAGAAGTGAACAACAAAAAAAAAAGCAAAAGAGCCCTGGCCAGTGTGGCTCAGTTGGTTGGAGCATTGGTCAACACACCAAAAGGTGGTGGGTTCGATTCCCAGTCAGGGAACAAACCCAGGTTGTGGGTTTGATCCCTGCTCAGGGAGCATGCAAAAGAGGTCGATGGCGGTTTCTCTCTCACATTGATGTTTCTTCCTCTCTCTTTCCCCCTTGCTCTCTCTAAATATCAATTAACAGTAATAATAAGACTTGTAAAACAAAACAAAAAAAAAATTACCTATAATAGTATTTATCAGATAGCTAAATTTTAACTGATTTCATCTTCAATTAAATTTTCAAAAAAAAGCACTGCATAGAATGTAGCAAACTTCAGCAGTTTGAGGTTCTATTTATATAGTAAGCATACTATTATAAGAGAAACCAGGTAAAATATGCATCAACTTCACAAATAGGACCACGATAAAGAGACAAACAAAATACGCCATGAGAGAGAACAGATGAAGCTACATCAAATCAGTTTTGAAAGTAGGAGGAGTATAATCTCAAATAAGTAAAAATTCAAAGTAAACACATTAGGACAAAATAAACTGAAACTCCTAACTGCTGTTTCTTCTCTATCAATAATTAGATAAAACAAAGTCTTCTTTATTAAATAAAAATTTAAATACAAAGTTTGGTTGTATCTCATCAAAATTGGCAAATCAAAACCAGTTTATAATCCTCAAAGAACATCCGAGATAACCTGTACAAACATGGTCAAGAGGACAAGATGCATTCCCTCCAAGTCTGGAAAAGACT